AAGGCTGAAGGCAGAAGGCCTCTATGGGGCTAGCCATCGCCATGCTTGAGGTATTCCCACCCCATCCCAGGCCAGGTGGCAGAACCAGGTCTTCAAGGCCCTCTGGAAGGCCAGGAGTGTGGGGGCCAATCGCACCTCCGGGGGCAGGATGTTCCAAAGAGCGGGGGCCACCGCAGAGAAGGCGGCAGTTCTAGTCCCACCATAGGCACAAAGCCAGCTGAGTGACCTTGGGCCAGTCACTCTCTTTCAGCCCCAGGAAGCAGGCAATGGCAAACCACTTCTGAAAAACCTCACCGAGAAAACTGCAGGGACTAGTCCAGGCAGTCGCCAGGAGTCAACATTGCCTTGAAGGCACACGCATGCACAAAAAAAAGTGTGTGTGTGTGTGTGAGAGAGGGGGGGATCAAAACTGGGTATGATTTACACGACCTCGGTGATATTTGGGGAAAAGTGGTGCGTATGTACTATATTAATAAATGTTACCCCACGGTCTGCAATTTGCCAGAGACTTGGAAGAGACTACAGACATAACTGCTCCATTATTAGCCAACAGAACACCACTTTTTAAAACAGTTCTGAAACTCTTGCCCAGAAAGTAGACCTACGGTAGTCTTTTAATATTCCCTATTTTGGAGCAATTGCTTTCTTAGTTCAACAATACTTACTCTCAGTTGGGAAAAGACCCCCCCCCCCCCAATGATTAAACATAGGAAGACAAATCCCCTGGACACCTTGTGATTAGGGTGACTGAGATTGAAGGCATTCAAACCAAGGGGTCTTGCTATTGAATGGAAGTGATTGAACCAAGCTTCTTCATCCTTCCTGAACTTCCTGAACTATTATTCTACCATGGCTGTCCCTCACAGTCTTTTCTAACAAAGTGAACTGTAACTATGAACCTCCCAGCCAGGAATCTCCATTAACAAGCTGCTCGTGCTGGGCCACACTTTATCTACGGCTTGGGTTAAAGCTAAACAGCCATGATTTGGGGGCTGTGCAAACCACCCTTTGACATCTGGAATAAACCTTAAGTATGTCTACATGTTGGCTTCCTCCAACCGTATGGCAAATTGGGAAATTTCTTCAAGTCCCATGCATTTTTTTGGTGTTTTTTCTACAGTTTATATATCCTTTACTTCTCATTTCTTTTCTTAGGGCATGTGCAAAGCCAGCAATACACACCAGTTTATAGTGGTCTTTCTCAACTTTGGATGTGTTGGAATACAATCCTATCATTCCCTGCCAGGGTGAATCTGGATTTGTACTTTCAGCCCATTTGAAGAACATTGGGTTGAAGGCGGCCAGCTTTTCAATGCATGGTGTGGTCCATAAGCTCTGTTTAGAGCAAGGAGTAAGTTCTCCCACCCCACAGTATTAAATGTCCCTCTCCGTTTCTCCTATCTCCATGGCAATTAATTATAAACCCAACTGGCTAGAAAGGTAAGAAGGCAAAGAATTACATAAATTAATATCCCTTCTCTTTCTCATTTCACACACCCCTGTGCTCAGCCAAGCTGTCTCTTCTCCCAGAACAACGGCCGTGTCTTTCTGCTGAATTATCACCGCTGCGGCTCAGCATTGGGCCTGTGGCAGCTGAAAGGAGGGGCGAGGAACACAGAGTCAGTCCGAGTGCCAGTGCCGGAGCTGCGCCCTCCGCCCACCTCCGCAAACGGGAGAGGCGTGGATCGCATCAGCCACAGCTGTAACGTGTGACAAGAGCCCAGGCGCTGGGCTGGCGCACCGTTCTCGACACAGGCAGTTATTTCGCCCATCTTGCAGAGCTGACGTCTTCTCGTTTGCTGGCATTAGAGTGCCCTCTGCTGCAAGGCTCTGAAGTGGCACTTCAGCATCACGGAAAACTGGGGACATTGGAACAAGCTTTCAGGACCACCTCAGATACTGCATTTCTCCTTAGCTTTGTTGGGGCACAAAGAGCAAATCAAGTAGCCACCCTGTTTGCACTTCTATATGAACGGCAAACCTTGCTAATAGTTGGCTTACTTAGGTGTTTCCCAAGCTTTTGGTAGTTGTTGTTGTTATTTGTATAAAGTGAGCTTGTACTTAATCCCCCCTAACCCAAAAGCTTATTTCCAGGATACAGTCTGCACATTAAGTGTAAACTTGAGGGCCACAGCAGGCTTTGAGTGGCCTCCAAATTGGGTGGCCCAGGACCAGAATGAAGGAGGGGTTCAGAGTTCTGAAGGGGTAAAACAGGTATCTTAAATCTCCATAACTCTCAATCCACCTACCTCAAGTGATCCAAAATTGGACAGCACTTATTCTGAAGAAGTTCCAGAGAGGACTGGATGTGGACCCAGAGGCACCGAGATGCAGACCTTGGCTCATTCGGTAGTGCTACCCAAGTGTTCATTGGCCTGACCAACCCTGCAGAAGAGCGAGGCTGAAAGGCCGTTCAGATGAAGACCTTCTACACAATAGACAGCAAGCTTTCACACATGGCAAAAGTAAAACTGCCAGCAGCATGGCCAGTGTGGAGGGTGCCAGGAGCTGAAATTCAACAACCACCAAGCTCATTGTTTAGCCTGCACACTTTCTTTTAGGGTAGGTCAAACTATAGTTCTGATGGTACGGAAAGCACTAGAGAAAACTGGATTTATCTCCTTAAAAAGGCATAGTACAAAGGTTTGGATAAAGATAGAAAGAATATTATGTATAATCACACTGCGTGAATAACCCAGATTCACTCTAAATTAGAGGTTCAGGATTCAAATAGGGATGATTAGATCTGAGCCATTCTGAGATTCAGCTGGGGGGGGGGAGTATCACCCCTAGGCTATATTGGAGAAGCATCTGCAAGCCTACTGGCTACGCCGCTTCCGTTTTTCTATAACCATACTAAGGATGTCTCAGCAGACTGCAACCCCTGCCCCACTTAACCTGGGTGCAGGAGCTAAGTAGGACTGGCCTTGGTTTGTGTTTGGAGGAAAGACTTCCAGGGAATCTGGGAAGCTGACAAAAGATTGTTGAAGCCGAGGTCAAATCAAGTCCCATACGGCTGCTGAGAAACCTACGCAACTGTCCGTGAAGGCTCCAGGTGGTGAGTCAAAGACTTTTCCTTTGGCCAGTAGGGCTGTGGCGGGTCTTACACCTTTCAAAACCATCTTATTTCTATTCAGCAGGTGTGCTATGAAAACAGAGCAAAAGAAATCATAAAATGGCTGAGAATCAAGAGGGCAAACACAAATTTAACATTTTACTCAACTCCAAACCAATAGCCTACGACAGACTTGCAGCGTGAATCCATGGTAGTCACTGAGCCAAAACTCGGGGCGGGGGGAGGGATTTAGGAAATCGTTGGAATATTAGTTTTAAGTTGGTAGTAAGTATGCAGTTAGACTGAGAGGACAATTCTCTAAGACAGTTCCCATGGAAAGGGATGTGTTGGGAAGCATCTTCCTGGCTAACCTTTCAGTGCTATCATGGCTAAAGGGAGAAGCAAAAAGTGCACAGAGAACAGAATGAAACTCACTTCGTGAGACCAGCATAAGTTCTCCTACATCTGGAAATTCCTCCTCCGGTTTTACAGAGCCATTTCCACTGATAACACTAGGAGGCAGAAGAACCGTGATAAATGCAGCGTTCAGAAAGGGAACGCTTAGCTTCTCCCAGACTCTGTCCAGCATGCACACACACACACACACACACACACACACACACACACACACAAAAACACAGCCAATGGCAGTTAGCACACCAGACACTTGGAATTAGGAAGTTTATTCACTAAAGCAACACTGAGGAAAGTCTTTACATACAGGCTTTTGAATCACCTTTACAAGCAGGTTCCAATATACAGTATTTATCTTTTTCTTTAAGTGAAATACTACATAATAAGAGTATTTTGCAGCTAGTACTCATTTAGTACAAATACTAACACTGTAGTTAATATTAATTGTGGTGCTTTTGAGATTCACATAGGCAGTGAGCAGCTTTACCACAGCAGTGATCAAAGTAATTTAGTGTCTTAAGACCCAACTATAGAAGAATCCTCTCTAACCATGATCGTGTTTCAACAAGGCACTACTCACTGACACGAAAATCCCACTGAAGTTGAACAAGCCAAAGGCAAGTACAAGTTTAAATCTAGGGGTCTTCAAAGGGGTTACACTTCGCTGGACTATGTCCATCATATTTGGAGAACCACTACCATCAGATGAAGGACAGACCAAATGGAATTGTCCCTCCAGCGCCAGGATCCTTCTAGCGGTAGCAGGTTTGTCTACCAAAAGCAGAAATAACGCAAAAAGGAAAAAGAAAAATCAGCCTCGGGCATGCTAATCCACCAGCATATGAAAGGCTTCATGAACACAGACAGTGTGGCACATAAGGAACCAAGGAAACCATGGTGCCCTTCAAACGCAGCATTTGAGAGCAAGAACTGATTTAGATGCAGACCATTTTGCAAGTCACTGTAACTGGATTTCAAACCCCTAAGTTTGCCTGTGAAACACCTGAAATACGCAATGCTCCTTGTTTGTACAAGGCAGGTGGTATTTATTGCGGAGTAATTTTTTTTTAAAACAAATAAATAATCAAATCTAAATACAAAGGCAAACCTTAGTTTTGGCAAACGTCTTTGTGGTTTTCTCTTTGAGGAACAGCATAGAGAATGTGGAGGTTAAGCAAGTTGGATGCTTAACAGGACAAAGCTTTGCAGGACCAGGTTGTATAGGCATGCAAGCTACAGTTCCATGAATATTATTTTGGATAATGAAGAGGCAGAGGCAGAGGCAGGGACAGGAGAAGGCTAGACACACTTTATGAGCTGAATCATTCGTGGAAACCTTACGTTTAGAAAACCTGAAACATGAACATTAATACACACTGAAAACTATTTCACTGCTTCAGCCATGGGTATTTAAATTGAGGCACAACTCCAAGCTACAGAGCTCATCAAGTGCAAATCTGTTTTGTTCCATTTCCACTTCATTATACACAACGGAGTAGTTTAATACTTTGGGAATTATTGCATAATGGAATAGAATCCAATGGATACAATGCATGTTAACAAAGTAAATGTAAGAAAGATCCCACATTTTTTCACTTTAAACAAATGTTCCAGTCAGTTGAAGCACGCACTTATGGCCACTGGGAATCTGGCTGCTGATCTGGCACCCCATAACGCACCTTCTACCAACCTGAATGAGCCTTCAAGACACACTGCACACCAGCTTTGAAAATAAGAAATTCCTCTCATCCCCTGGACATCCTAAACATACATTAGAACTTCCTCTGATGCAACTGCATTCAAAAAGGCTGGTCCTGTCAGTTCTAAAAGGCAGACTCATAAACAGTGGTAAAAACTGTTTGCCCAGTAACCGCCTGAAATTATGAGGCAGGGACCCAGGGCATCTCAGCCAACCTCCTCTAGCATTCAAGTTGCCTCAAGACACAGTTTAGATGACGATCATCAACCGTACATGCAACCATCTGCTACTATCAGCCTGCTTCTTAGTGGCCAGTCTGACAATACAACTGGGAGCAGAAGGCTAGTTTTATCTCCAGGGCTTTTTTCTCATTGAGTGATTTAAGTAATGCATGGAAACATGAATGAAAAAATACTAGTTGAAGGCTTCCTAGTGTGAGTTGATCCCACACTAGTGTGTACCTAAATACTGGTACAGATGTAGAAGTTCAGTCTGATGCAATAGCTTTTATAAGCCAGTTTACAGTTATTACTTGCCATTGAGAAGTGGAACAATTCTCTTTACTGTTTTTCAGCCCCTCTGTCTATACAGTTACCCCTTAGCGGAGAGGCAATTTTTTGTACTCTCTTCTTTGACAAGAAGCATTCGCATACTGATAGAGACAAGAAGATGGCATTAAATATTGGGAAAACCATCAAGAAGTGTCTGACCACTGGCATCCAGAGGGAGTCAAAAGCAAGATGGTGGTTGCAGCAGTGTGATCAAGGCAACCACCAACTTGTCTTCTTTTGATCCCCTCTGGATGCCGATGTCTGTGTGACCATACAGGATCGTTGCATTTATAGTTCAGAAAGCCAGCCCTCTCTGCCCCTCGACTCCCACTGTATCTGTAAGCTTGCTTAGACAACTGCTGTTCAGCTTGACAGGGTCCATCTGCTCTGACAGAGAGCCAAGCTGATTAACCAGTGGTTCAGCCACAATTACCTGGACTGATGTGCTTGTCAGCCTGGATTAAATAACGGGCAGCTAACATTAAGACAGAAAACCCCTGCCTGTTTTGAACACAGCCCTCCTTTAACTGCTATCCCTGATCACGAAAAAGGCAACGGAAGCTTAAAGCATTTCTGCCACTTGAAGAAAATGATTTTTCATCAAGAAAGCATTTTCCAGTTAACAGCAGCAGCCGAGAATATTTCACTGCATACCTTCAAGGTTTACAAGTGACACAAACACAGCTAACTGCTCTTGGTCAGTCTTTTGATGATAAACTAAGTTGGCTGCATACATTTCTTACTTATCCTTCCTGAGGGAGGCAGCGGTCCTTAAGAAAAACCAGCACTACTTTTCCCTGGCTCACTTTCCCCTACCTGGTGCCCTCCAAAGGTCTTAGATACAATTTCCTGCCAGCCTATGCACGAGCCAGGTTGATTGACGGAGATCTAACCCAACGTATTTGGAGGGTACAAGATTTGGGAACGTTATCTTTTGTTTCTTTAAGGATGCATTTTTCTATAAGAATTATTATTTAATATATTAAACAGAGCTCAAAATCAATGCTGTGGTGTATTTGCACAAGTTTTATTTAACACTTTTTAGAGGCAGTTTTTGAAAATGCTACTTCAAACAAGTGTTCTCAGACTGATACCGGAGTAAGATTTCAATACAGTTAAACCAAATTTATGACTTTCATTTTTGTGGCTCTGGCTAACTCTAGAAGTCATGGAGCCCTTCCCTCCACAGACGGCATATCTGGTAGAATCTCTGTCTCCAGCGACTTTCTATCATTTTTCACAAAGATTAAAAAGTGTTGTCCTTACGACTTCCCAAGATTTCCCCAAGTGTGTATGTGTGACTGTGTACATAAATGTATGTGCATTTTAAAAATAGGGTTTAAAAAACATAAGCTTTATTATGAAAAATAATTTTTGAATCCCTACATGTATGGCAAAATTTTGTGCAAACATTCCAAATGGACTTCTTGAGATTTTCAGTTGTAGAACTTAATAAATAACGTTGCCATTAAGCAAGCCTTAAAAAGAAAATCTACAAGCTGGCAGTCACAGACTCATTATCTCCAGAGTCACATCACATGCCATTTGACAACCATCAGTACAAACAAAAGTTTGGGATATATATTAAATACTGTTTTTCAGTTATACCATGATAACTGATTAACACTATGTATTCTACAGGTTATCTACAACAAATGGGTAATGGTTTAAATATAAATATATCCATTTCACCCTGTGAAATTTTGTTGCCACTTGTGAACCATGAATATAGACCCCAAAAACAAAGAGAACAATTTGGGATCTTCCTTGCGAAAACATACAACCTCCATTAAATATTAAATATACATCTTTTACACAGTTTGGGGTTATAAATAGAAGCAATTTGCATAGGCCTCTTGAGATACAGAGAAAGACTTATGGCTAAAGAGTAACATTAAAAATAGAGAAAAAGGAAAAAAAGATCAACAATATAATTTGTCCATCACTTATTATTAATGCCAAACCAAAAACGTAGCCTTAGTCATCTATCATTTGGGGGGACATCCAAAGGATACGATTTCCGTCGGCAATTTCCTGGACAAAGGAGACAGCACTCTGGCAGCCAGATCACAACCGGTGCCCTCGGGAGATGTCACAGGCTCTTGCAGATCACGGCTTGAAGAAGCGATGCACATATTTAAATAGGGTAAAACCGAGATTAGACTATTGGGCGTCAGAAGAAGTGCAACATTCGGTGCTTCCATGCTCTTGCTAATGCCTCCTGACCGAGGAGGCCAGGAGAGGGGAGGGCAAGCAGCGACACAACACAGGACACAGCAACGTACATGTGCAAGTCACACTTGGGCTACGTCTTTGGTTTAGGGAGTCGGGAACGCCGATGCAAAGTCACGCCGTCCCCAGGACGAATGGCTGCATCTCGGTTCTGCGTAGCTTCTTTTGCTTGCATCGGTTGCTTTGAGTGGCTGGCCTGAAACCGCTGTTGCTCGGAAGCTACCATGGTTTGGGGATCTGTCATCTGCCTGGGGCGGGAGGAAATAGCCGGAGGGCGAAGTTTAGAGGCCCTCTGATTCCTGCCACTCAGAAGAGAGAGACTGGATGCTGACTGCGGTCGCGCTGGGCTGCTTGACGGAGGTGCAGGAGGGTCGTTTGGAGACAATGCTGGAAGAGGCACTGGCGCGTTCTGCTTTGGGGCTCTGAGAGCTCTTGACGTCTTTGGCGGTGAAGCCTGGTTTGGCCTTGAGCAATGACTTTTTAGAGCTAATTTGGTCTGCGCATCCTGCGTAGTCAACTGGGTGGAGGGGGGACAAGACTGCAGCATATTCAGTTTTCTGCCTGTTACTTCTTTAGCGTTTTCTCCAACTGTTTCATTCTTGATGGAATGTGCGTTCGCCAGGGAGTCGTCATTCAACTGTGTGTTTAAAGTGCTCGGTTCATGTATGCTGTCAGTGCCGGAGCCTAGGGCAACGTTTTTATCTTCATGGCCAACATTTTTCTGTTGGTCCTGATGAGGGGGTTCACTGTGGGCCACGGTGTGTGATGTTTTTGCTAGTTTTCCCTGGGTGAGGTCTGCGAAACGGGGAAGGTGGCTGGAAGGCTGTAGTACTTGAGGCTATAGAAGAAACATTACATGCCAACAGATTAGGAAAAGAATTAATGAAAATCTAACTGGTCTGTAAAAGTGCTTAAAAATTAACTTTTGTCTTTAAAGTTTGTGTGCAAAGGGCAAAGGAAGCAATATTTTCCAAGCCGGTGCAAGGACACCAAAGGAATAAACTATCACAATAAAAAGTCATTATTATATTTACTGTATGTATGTATGTCTGTAATGTATACAATGCCTCCACCCAACTAGATTCTTATTATTGTTTCTTATTCATCTGTATTTTGCCTTTTAGCCCAGAGGTCACTCAAGGCTGCTAATAGTAAAACATGAAATGATATCTGTTAAAAACAGTTAAAATCAACTAGTAATTCAAACTGGAAAGGGCTGGCTAAAAAGAAGGAGCTTGACTCTTTTCCTAAAAGCAAGAGGATTGACAGTTGAATGCAACTCCCGAGGGGGTTGTCCCCTATAACCTGGGAGTAATGCAGGAAATGTACCAGTAAACAAGTGTCAGAAAATGAGGGCATCTTCTTCTGTTGACAATGTCTTTACTGGTTCAGATGAATTGTGCAACCCCTCCAAACATTTCATTCTTTGTCACAATACCATGTGCAACTGTGCCACAATTACAGATAAGCACATTTAACCCATATGAACAAAAAATTCACTGTCTTCCCAGGATCCACTTGCTAAAGCTTATAATTTGAAAAGATAAGTGATTTCTTACATCAATCTGACTTTGAAAACTCCATAATGTATTTCAAAGACTTAGTGTTCTTCAGAAGTTAATGGATGGAGGGCTTAGTTAGGAGGTTAGCTCCTAACTAAGCTATGTTTTAACTGCATAACATAGTATGCAAGCTGGGGCTAGTAATTTTGTGTTACAATAATCATTTCTCAGAAACCATGATAGATATAAGGAAAAATTCCATAACTCAGTGTATAAGTAAACAGGGTACAGGCTTGAGAATGACCTCTGCCTCAGATCTCATAGAGTTATTACATGACAAAATCGGCAATAAGCTACCTAATAGGTTCCCTGTATTTTAGGTAAGATTTAGTCTCATTTTAGTATTGCGTATCCTGGGTTAATTAATGTGGCCTGATTTTAACAGATATATTTTACTGTTTTCTATACACTATATGCCCACCTGCACAGATGTGATGTTAGAGGACATGCAACTGTTGCAGATGGCGAACACAGCCCAGAGTGATTTGCAGACAGAAAAACATACAACAACACAAACACAAACTGCCCTCAACAACACAGCAGTCCCACACAATCCCCCTCTTGTATCACTCCCTGAAGGCTTGGGGGCTTTCCTGATGATCTAAAAGGGTGGCGTTCTGTTCCCTTTCAGGATTTTCACAGCTACCCAGTGGAGGCTAGCAAGGACACTAAAATAACTGCTCAACCCTTTTACCTCACCACGGGCCAGGCAGCAACACACACACATGCAAAATGGGTAATTTAATATTTCTGCGGAAGATCCTTTCTTCCCATACGCAACTACAGAAGGCTACCTTCCTCTTTGTATAACAAACATCACTCATTGGAGTGGTGACAATTATGCATCTCAAAATGGAATACTGTCAAAACGGAAATATTTACATATTTTAAAAAAGCAAACAACATAAACCTAATTACTCATGTTCTTAAACAAATATGTGAGTTACATCCTGAGATACTGTTCCGATACTGAAGAATCTCTTCTGCTTAGAAAAAAAAGTATGTCTAACATAACTAAACTGAAACTAAACTAAGCTAAACTAGTTTTTAGTGTAAAGTGACCTCAGATCAAAAGGAATTGTAAGCCTCTGAAGTGTTATAGCAGACTTTTGCCTAGTAAAATCTAATTTTGGGAGGGGAAAAGGGGGAGGGGACAGATGCCAAATTTTGACAGACCCCACATCAAGTGCAATCAATTGCCCTGATACAATAATTTAAATACAAGTTGTCTAAATTATGCAGTCTTTATTTCTAAAAAATGGATAAGATTGCACTCAGCTTCATAGATTGTTCAAATAAAAATGTATTTAGAACTTTTTCCTCTCTCTTCCACTTGATCATTACCCAAAACATTTCTCCTTGCTTCCGAGAGAGAGACAGAGAGAGAGACAGCTGATAGTTCCCAATTGACAGAAAACAAGAGGGACAAAACTAGCTGACTCACACTTATAAAGAGGGTATATTTTGGAAGGAGAATTAAATGAGGAAAAAATTAACCACATCAGTCTTCTCCTGATGGTAGCAATCCTACTTTAGTACACTCCTAATCAGCCTGGAGACAGAACAGTGGAGGAAAGAGAAGGAAGTAGCTAAAAGAATTAAAGGGTGTATTAGGAGGGGCACCTCTAGATAGATCCCACTCACCCAGTTGTGAAACCAGTGGGAAAAGCACAAAAAGCAAAGGTTCACCTTTTCCAACCCTTCCTTGCTTAAGTTACTGCTATGAGTCACTTTCTATTCCTCTAGCCATTGGAAAGAAGTTACTGCAAATTTATAGAGAGAGAAAGGGGAAATCCTACTATCTGTTTGATGGTGGAAAGGTTCCCATCTGTTTTTCAGCTCCACTCTTGTTAAAGCAGATACTATTTCGTGCCAGGAAGGAACACGCCTCTTTCAGCGAATCCTTGCTGCCCAATTGGTCAAATTACTGCCCCAAATGCAGAAACATGCATCGTCTTCTTCAGACTGGATAAAGAATCCCCAAATACTACTTTAATCCAGCGATCTTCACAACACTGGTCAAAAATAGCCAAGGAATGGACATACAATCCTGGTTGGCTAAAGGCAAGGCCGAGGACTGCCAATTCTGATGTTGCCAAGACAGTTGTGTCTACCCTTGAACTATCCCGGGTCTCCTTATTCAAAGTTTCTGTCTTCTACTCTAACTCAACTGGCATCCTCTGGTTGTGCTGGGACAGTGGCTCCCAGAATTCCACTGGCTAGAAACTCCTGGGAAAATTGAGAAAGGTTGTTCTAATGTGTTTCTCCCAGACTGTGACACAGCATTACTGCTGCATAACAATTCGTAGAATAGCACTAACATATTTTCTTCTCATAGTCATGGCTCTTGAACAAGAGCCATTAATTTAAAAAACTGGGGAAATCACTTTTCTTGTAATTAAGCCGGCCATCTAGGCCTTGTCAAAACTGATGTCTCAAGAACAACAAACTGTTTTTGACTGTGCTGAAAAGTGGCAAAATGGACATTATTGCTGAATGACAATAATTTATTGCATTAGGGTAGACTAGCAATGTCTCTGTTTTTATATCAGAATTGTTCTTGCTTTTTAAAGCTGCATAATAATGATATGAATGGGAATAAATCAGAATCAAATTCAGGGCAACTATTACTGCTCCTGAGAAACCAGGCATCAGTCTTCATTTAGACCACAAAAGTAATCTAACAGCAGCCAAGTATACATTTCTGTTTAAAAAAAAAAATGTTCCTTTTGGATTTTCTGATTTTTATTTATATTTTTTGCACATCTTTGACACTGTTACTAGAGCCTCATGTAGGTCTATTGACACAGGTGGCCCTTGGGTTAGGTTATGACCACTCATTCAGCATCTGTTCAAACTTATGATGGCACTGAATGAATGGTACTTACAATCGGTCCTCAAAATTCCAGCTGTTGCAGTGTCCCCGCGGTCATGTGATCACAATTTCCGACATCCTCTGCTGGCTTCCCACAAGTAAATTCAATGAGGAAGCTGCAGGAAGTCAGAAGTGAGATCCTCACTTAATGACGGCAACCAGGACTGTTAGAACTGCCATCGCTAAGCATTGTGGTCATGTGATGTTGTACTTTATGCCTGCGTTGCTTAGTGACAGCAATTCCAGTCCCTATTGCCTTCGCAACCCAAGGGCTACCTGTATATAAATGGCATCTGAGCTAACACATACTATCAAAGTTTGTGGCTTGTTTCATTTATTTCATTTTTTTTTAAAAAATTATCCATCATGTGAGATGGCAATCAATCGACAGACAGACAGACAGACAAGAATTTCATAGAGTGGCCCAACAATTTAACAGATGCAGCTTCAGTGATGCTTGGTTAAGAGAATGAGTGAAATGGGCCTCTTTTCTACCAACATGTTATTTGTCAGAATCCAGTAGGCAGTCCTGGCCCTTCTGTTTTTGTAGCAGAGGGACAATCCTAGCCTTCCTTTAACGGAAGGGTGGAAGGAGGCACAGGTGACCTATTTGGAGCACTGATATAGCCCAATGTAGTTGTTGTGGCCTAAAATTCTACTCAGGTGCAGCCATGGAAGTCGTGTTTCCTGAAACAGAATATAACAATAGCATCTTTGGGAACATTTGTTATTGGCACTGGGAAAAAGCAGAGGTTTTTCTAGGAAAGACCCATACCTCTCTCGCGCTAGATGCACTATTATAATGAATCCAACATACACAGATGCAGCACGGTCACACCCGTGATGACTGGTTCCACAGGAGGATGCACACCATCAGAAAGTTTATGAGCAGAATCACCACTTAAAACACATATAGTAACTTGGGGAACTACTTCAAATCATGTGTAGGTTCACATGTAGTAAGGTGTTAAAAAATATAAGCTTAAAAATGTGACTTAAGTTTACCACTGATATTATCAGAAGGAATCCGGTGGCATCTTTTTTGACTAATAAAATTTTATTCAAAGGCAAAAGCCTTTGAATAAAATTGGTTAGTTGGACAATGTGCTACCGGACTTCTTCTGAGTTTTGACTACTACTGTATACACTAACACAGCTGTCCTTCTAAAATGCTTGTGATTTCATTACAAACTGTAGAGCAGTCTTTTCCTATTTATGCTGTGGAATGTGGAAAAAAACAAAAAACGAGACAACAGCATGCACAACTCTGATCTGCATGCACCATGCAGAAAGCAAGCACAACAGTGAAGATACGGAAGGACAGGTTGGGAAGAAATCTAAAGTTGTACTGTACCACGCGTTATCACAGAAGTAATGGACTAATTCCTCAACTCCTTGCCA